CCAACACCTACAATAGTGCCATCGTGTAGAACAGTCATTGCAATCACACAACAGCTGTTCGGTGCTGGACCCGTCCATCTTCCTTCAATTCCATCTCTTGTGTAGATTTTTTTGTCGGTTCCAATACCATATACTAAATAACGTAAATATAATTAGTAAACTAAAATCTGTTTTTTGTCAAACTGAATGTGTTTTAAAAACATCGAATTTTATTTTGTGTAGCATTTCAAACAATCAGAATATATACCTTTCTCTGTTTTTTCTACCTTATCTTCTATATTTGGAACAGGTGTCGAGAAAAAAAAAGTGTGATATTGAGAATGACATGAAATCTATAACAACATTTGACAAAAAAGCCAAAATGATGTTAAATTTGAATGACATAAGCATTATAGAACAACATTTGACATAGAAGACCAGAGTGACGTCAAATTGAAATGACATAAGCATTCTAGAACAACATTTGACACAGAAAACCAGAGTGACGTCAAATTTAAATGACAGTGTGAATTCAAGAACAAAAATTGACATAAAGCCAAGAGTGACGTCAAACTTGAATATCCATTCCACGAATCATCATCGTCGTTTGTGAGTAATACATAGAAAACATATATAGTTTTATAAAATATGTATCGCCAATGAAGCATCCTCATACAACTATATAATGTGTAATGACTATTTGTTGAATAACGTTATATAATATTTCAATTCAACGCATACAGATATGCCTGTTGCTACTGAAGTGTTGCTTTGTTTAAGTTATTTTCGGTCCTCAGCCCAAATCTAATGATCTCGTAATTATATCTTTATCTAACTGCTGAGAAACGCAAATGTACTCCTCACATAATAAGACGCGATTACTCGTTTCTCATTAAAAACAAAGTGACGTAATCACAAAACGTTATTCAGTGCGTGAAGCAACATATATGCGTCACAGTATTGCCAATGGTATCGTAAAACCAATCTATACAATTTCGGTGTACGTTGTTATGCAATAGTTACAAATACGTATGTTGCTATTCTGTTTTTTCATGCTTATTCAGAATCATGAAGGGGTACTATGTATCTCAAATTAATGTTATTGCAAAACAAACACATTTAATGAAATAGACTTTAAACATGCATTCATGTTAATTGTGATGTATACTGTTCGCAATCACAACAATTATGTTGGGCATATTCTGAATATACAACACAAATTGACTTAGTTACATTTAATATAACATACATGTAACATTTCAAAACAAATTAAATGTTTCATTTAAAATCACACAATGACAGTGTCAATATAATAGTATTTATCTGATAGATATAAACAATGTAAACAAAACTCACCTTTCTCTACAAACGACACAGAAGTAACACATCGGCTACTTGCAATCTCACCTTGCCAATACGATGTATAAGAAGGTCTCTCCCACAAACCACATGTGGTTCCAATGCCAATTACTGCACCATCTTTGTTAACGGATATATCAGACACTATACCATTACCATCCACATTTGTCCATACTCCTTGTATACCAGGTCTTTTATATAATTTGCCATTCATTCCAACACCTAATATACTTCCATCTGGTAGCACCGATATGGACTTTACGGATCCACTATTTGCAACAGGGCCAGACCATAATCCCTGAACACCAGGACGAGTATACAAAAGGTTGTTCATACCAATACCAACGATTGTACCATCAGGCATTACAGTAACATCCATCACTGAACCACTATTTGCTACAGGACCTTGCCAAGTCGCATCTAAACTGCTCTTTGTCCACAATCGATTGGATGTACCAACACCTACAATAGTGCCATCGTGTAGAACAGTCATTGCAATCACACAACAGCTGTTCGGTGCTGGACCCGTCCATCTTCCTTCAATTCCATCTCTTGTGTAGATTTTTTTGTCGGTTCCAATACCATATACTAAATAACGTAAATATAATTAGTAAACTAAAATCTGTTTTGTCAAACTGAATGTGTTTTAAAAACATCGAATTTTATTTTGTGTAGCATTTCAAACAATCAGAATATATACCTTTCTCTGTTTTTTTCTACCTTATCTTCTATATTTGGAACAGGTGTCGAGAAAAAAAAAGTGTGATATTGAGAATGACATGAAATCTATAACAACATTTGACAAAAAAGCCAAAATGATGTTAAATTTGAATGACATAAGCATTATAGAACAACATTTGACATAGAAGACCAGAGTGACGTCAAATTGAAATGACATAAGCATTCTAGAACAACATTTGACACAGAAAACCAGAGTGACGTCAAATTTAAATGACAGTGTGAATTCAAGAACAAAAATTGACATAAAGCCAAGAGTGACGTCAAACTTGAATATCCATTCCACGAATCATCATCGTCGTTTGTGAGTAATACATAGAAAACATATATAGTTTTATAAAATATGTATCGCCAATGAAGCATCCTCATACAACTATATAATGTGTAATGACTATTTGTTGAATAACGTTATATAATATTTCAATTCAACGCATACAGATATGCCTGTTGCTACTGAAGTGTTGCTTTGTTTAAGTTATTTTCGGTCCTCAGCCCAAATCTAATGATCTCGTAATTATATCTTTATCTAACTGCTGAGAAACGCAAATGTACTCCTCACATAATAAGACGCGATTACTCGTTTCTCATTAAAAACAAAGTGACGTAATCACAAAACGTTATTCAGTGCGTGAAGCAACATATATGCGTCACAGTATTGCCAATGGTATCGTAAAACCGATCTATACAATTTCGGTGTACGTTGTTATGCAATAGTTACAAATACGTATGTTGCTATTCTGTTTTTTCATGCTTATTCAGAATCATGAAGGGGTACTATGTATCTCAAATTAATGTTATTGCAAAACAAACACATTTAATGAAATAGACTTTAAACATGCATTCATGTTAATTGTGATGTATACTGTTCGCAGTCACAACAATTATGTTGGGCATATTCTGAATATACAACACAAATTGACTTAGTTACATATAATATAACATACATGTAACATTTCAAAACAAATTAAATGTTTCATTTAAAATCACACAATGACAGTGTCAATATAATAGTATTTATCTGATAGATATAAACAATGTAAACAAAACTCACCTTTCTCTACAAACGACACAGAAGTAACACATCGGCTACTTGCAATCTCACCTTGCCAATACGATGTATAAGAAGGTCTCTCCCACAAACCACATGTGGTTCCAATGCCAATTACTGCACCATCTTTGTTAACGGATATATCAGACACTATACCATTACCATCCACATTTGTCCATACTCCTTGTATACCAGGTCTTTTATATAATTTGCCATTCATTCCAACACCTAATATACTTCCATCTGGTAGCACCGATATGGACTTTACGGATCCACTATTTGCAACAGGGCCAGACCATAATCCCTGAACACCAGGACGAGTATACAAACGGTTGTTCATACCAATACCAACGATTGTACCATCAGGCATTACAGTAACATCCATCACTGAACCACTATTTGCTACAGGACCTTGCCAAGTCGCATCTAAACTGCTCTTTGTCCACAATCGATTGGATGTACCAACACCTACAATAGTGCCATCGTGTAGAACAGTCATTGCAATCACACAACAGCTGTTCGGTGCTGGACCCGTCCATCTTCCTTCAATTCCATCTCTTGTGTAGATTTTTTTGTCGGTTCCAATACCATATACTAAATAACGTAAATATAATTAGTAAACTAAAATCTGTTTTGTCGAACTGAATGTGTTTTAAAAACATCGAATTTTATTTTGTGTAGCATTTCAAACAATCAGAATATATACCTTTCTCTGTTTTTTCTACCTTATCTTCTATATTTGGAACAGGTGTCGAGAAAAAAAAAAGTGTGATATTGAGAATGACATGAAATCTATAACAACATTCGACAAAAAAGCCAAAATGATGTTAAATTTGAATGACATAAGCATTATAGAACAACATTTGACATAGAAGACCAGAGTGACGTCAAATTGAAATGACATAAGCATTCTAGAACAACATTTGACACAGAAAACCAGAGTGACGTCAAATTTAAATGACAGTGTGAATTCAAGAACAAAAATTGACATAAAGCCAAGAGTGACGTCAAACTTGAATATCCATTCCACGAATCATCATCGTCGTTTGTGAGTAATACATAGAAAACATATATAGTTTTATAAAATATGTATCGCCAATGAAGCATCCTCATACAACTATATAATGTGTAATGACTATTTGTTGAATAACGTTATATAATATTTCAATTCAACGCATACAGATATGCCTGTTGCTACTGAAGTGTTGCTTTGTTTAAGTTATTTTCGGTCCTCAGCCCAAATCTAATGATCTCGTAATTATATCTTTATCTAACTGCTGAGAAACGCAAATGTACTCCTCACATAATAAGACGCGATTACTCGTTTCTCATTAAAAACAAACTGACGTAATCACAGAACGTTATTCAGTGCGTGAAGCAACATATATGCGTCACAGTATTGCCAATGGTATCGTAAAACCAATCTATACAATTTCGGTGTACGTTGTTATGCAATAGTTACAAATACGTATGTTGCTATTCTGTTTTTTCATGCTTATTCGGAATCTTGAAGGGGTACTATGTATCTCAAATTAATGTTATTGCAAAACAAACACATTTAATGAAATAGACTTTAAACATGCATTCATGTTAATTGTGATGTATACTGTTCGCAATCACAACAATTATGTTGGGCATATTCTGAATATACAACACAAATTGACTTAGTTACATATAATATAACATACATGTAACATTTCAAAACAAATTAAATGTTTCATTTAAAATCACACAATGACAGTGTCAATGTAATAGTATTTATCTGATAGATATAAACAATGTAAACAAAACTCACCTTTCTCTACAAACGACACAGAAGTAACACATCGGCTACTTGCAATCTCACCTTGCCAATACGATGTATAAGAAGGTCTCTCCCACAAACCACATGTGGTTCCAATGCCAATTACTGCACCATCTTTGTTAACGGATATATCAGACACTATACCATTACCATCCACATTTGTCCATACTCCTTGTATACCAGGTCTTTTATATAATTTGCCATTCATTCCAACACCTAATATACTTCCATCTGGTAGCACCGATATGGACTTTACGGATCCACTATTTGCAACAGGGCCAGACCATAATCCCTGAACACCAGGACGAGTATACAAAAGGTTGTTCATACCAATACCAACGATTGTACCATCAGGCATTACAGTAACATCCATCACTGAACCACTATTTGCTACAGGACCTTGCCAAGTCGCATCTAAACTGCTCTTTGTCCACAATCGATTGGATGTACCAACACCTACAATAGTGTCATCGTGTAGAACAGTCATTGCAATCACACAACAGCTGTTCGGTGCTGGACCCGTCCATCTTCCTTCAATTCCATCTCTTGTGTAGATTTTTTTGTCGGTTCCAATACCATATACTAAATAACGTAAATATAATTAGTAAACTAAAATCTGTTTTGTCAAACTGAATGTGTTTTAAAAACATCGAATTTTATTTTGTGTAGCATTTCAAACAATCAGAATATATACCTTTCTCTGTTTTTTCTACCTTATCTTCTATATTTGGAACAGGTGTCGAGAAAAAAAAAAGTGTGATATTGAGAATGACATGACATCTATAACAACATTCGACAAAAAAGCCAAAATGATGTTAAATTTGAATGACATAAGCATTATAGAACAACATTTGACATAGAAGACCAGAGTGACGTCAAATTGAAATGACATAAGCATTCTAGAACAACATTTGACACAGAAAACCAGAGTGACGTCAAATTTAAATGACAGTGTGAATTCAAGAACAAAAATTGACATAAAGCCAAGAGTGACGTCAAACTTGAATATCCATTCCACGAATCATCATCGTCGTTTGTGAGTAATACATAGAAAACATATATAGTTTTATAAAATATGTATCGCCAATGAAGCATCCTCATACAACTATATAATGTGTAATGGCTATTTGTTGAATAACGTTATATAATATTTCAATTCAACGCATACAGATATGCCTGTTGCTACTGAAGTGTTGCTTTGTTTAAGTTATTTTCGGTCCTCAGCCCAAATCTAATGATCTCGTAATTATATCTTTATCTAACTGCTGAGAAACGCAAATGTACTCCTCACATAATAAGACGCGATTACTCGTTTCTCATTAAAAACAAACTGACGTAATCACAGAACGTTATTCAGTGCGTGAAGCAACATATATGCGTCACAGTATTGCCAATGGTATCGTAAAACCAATCTATACAATTTCGGTGTACTTTGTTATGCAATAGTTACAAATACGTATGTTGCTATTCTGTTTTTTCATGCTTATTCAGAATCATGAAGGGGTACTATGTATCTCAAATTAATGTTATTGCAAAACAAACACATTTAATGAAATAGACTTTAAACATGCATTCATGTTAATTGTGATGTATGCTGTTCGCAGTCACAACAATTATGTTGGGCATATTCTGAATATACAACACAAATTGACTTAGTTACATATAATATAACATACATGTAACATTTCAAAACAAATTAAATGTTTCATTTAAAATCACACAATGACAGTGTCAATATAATAGTATTTATCTGATAGATATAAACAATGTAAACAAAACTCACCTTTCTCTACAAACGACACAGAAGTAACACATCGGCTACTTGCAATCTCACCTTGCCAATACGATGTATAAGAAGGTCTCTCCCACAAACCACATGTGGTTCCAATGCCAATTACTGCACCATCTTTGTTAACCGATATATCAGACACTATACCATTACCATCCACATTTGTCCATACTCCTTGTATATCAGGTCTTTTATATAATTTGCCATTCATTCCAACACCTAATATACTTCCATCTGGTAGCACCGATATGGACTTTACGGATCCACTATTTGCAACAGGGCCAGACCATAATCCCTGAACACCAGGACGAGTATACAAAAGGTTGTTCATACCAATACCAACGATTGTACCATCAGGCATTACAGTAACATCCATCACTGAACCACTATTTGCTACAGGACCTTGCCAAGTCGCATCTAAACTGCTCTTTGTCCACAATCGATTGGATGTACCAACACCTACAATAGTGCCATCGTGTAGAACAGTCATTGCAATCACACAACAGCTGTTCGGTGCTGGACCCGTCCATCTTCCTTCAATTCCATCTCTTGTGTAGATTTTTTTGTCGGTTCCAATACCATATACTAAATAATGTAAATATAATTAGTAAACTAAAATCTGTTTTGTCAAACTGAATATGTTTTAAAAACATCGAATTTTATTTTGTGTAGCATTTCAAACAATCAGAATATATACCTTTCTCTGTTTTTTCTACCTTATCTTCTATATTTGGAACAGGTGTCGAGAAAAAAAAAGTGTGATATTGAGAATGACATGAAATCTATAACAACATTCGACAAAAAAGCCAAAATGATGTTAAATTTGAATGACATAAGCATTATAGAACAACATTTGACATAGAAGACCAGAGTGACGTCAAATTGAAATGACATAAGCATTCTAGAACAACATTTGACACAGAAAACCAGAGTGACGTCAAATTTAAATGACAGTGTGAATTCAAGAACAAAAATTGACATAAAGCCAAGAGTGACGTCGAACTTGAATATCCATTCTACGAATCATCATCGTCGTTTGTGAGTAATACATAGAAAACATATATAGTTTTATAAAATATGTATCGCCAATGAAGCATCCTCATACAACTATATAATGTGTAATGACTATTTGTTGAATAACGTTATATAATATTTCAATTCAACGCATACAGATATGCCTGTTGCTACTGAAGTGTTGCTTTGTTTAAGTTATTTTCGGTCCTCAGCCCAAATCTAATGATCTCGTAATTATATCTTTATCTAACTGCTGAGAAACGCAAATGTACTCCTCACATAATAAGACGCGATTACTCGTTTCTCATTAAAAACAAACTGACGTAATCACAGAACGTTATTCAGTGCGTGAAGCAACATATATGCGTCACAGTATTGCCAATGGTATCGTAAAACCAATCTATACAATTTCGGTGTACTTTGTTATGCAATAGTTACAAATACGTATGTTGCTATTCTGTTTTTTCATGCTTATTCAGAATCATGAAGGGGTACTATGTATCTCAAATTAATGTTATTGCAAAACAAACACATTTAATGAAATAGACTTTAAACATGCATTCATGTTAATTGTGATGTATACTGTTCGCAGTCACAACAATTATGTTGGGCATATTCTGAATATACAACACAAATTGACTTAGTTACATATAATATAACATACATGTAACATTTCAAAACAAATTAAATGTTTCATTTAAAATCACACAATGATAGTGTCAATGTAATAGTATTTATCTGATAGATATAAACAATGTAAACAAAACTCACCTTTCTCTACAAACGACACAGAAGTAACACATCGGCTACTTGCAATCTCACCTTGCCAATACGATGTATAAGAAGGTCTCTCCCACAAACCACATGTGGTTCCAATGCCAATTACTGCACCATCTTTGTTAACGGATATATCAGACACTATACCATTACCATCCACATTTGTCCATACTCCTTGTATACCAGGTCTTTTATATAATTTGCCATTCATTCCAACACCTAATATACTTCCATCTGGTAGCACCGATATGGACTTTACGGATCCACTATTGAAACAGGGCCAGACCATAATCCCTGAACA